AATAAAAATATCTGTGATAGAGGGAAAAGGAGGCCTTGCCAGGACTCGAACCTGGGTTGACGGAAATCGGATATCTAATCAGAATCCGCCGTGATAACCGGCTACACTACAAGGCCGTACTTTATAGCGAGGGAAAAAACTTATTATGAAAAAGATCCTTATTCAGTATCCGAAGAGAAAAAACAAGGACACTATTCGTCTCTACAAACACCCTTCACGTTTCGGAATCCGAGCTATTGGATGTCTCGGAGCTTCTCTCAAACAAGAACGACATAGTTCCGCCTGGTACACTATCGATAGCGAGGCCAGCATCCTCATCCATGTTCAAGACATTGCTCAGGTCGAGGGCATCCAAGACTCGCGATCCGTTATGAGTAGGAGCTGGCTGAATCTTAGAATCGGGGTTCGGTGAGTGAATCAGATGGCGCAAAATGTCGTCTTGAACGCGATCCTTGGCATTTGGCTGGAGACAATTGATGTGTGTCCACTCTCCGAGAGCCGCCAGCGCCGCCTTTTTCTTTTTTAAGTACTGCGGGTGACGCAGAAGTAAGTTAAATGCCGATATCATATTAGCCAAACTAACTCACCGCCTTGTCCCCCTTCCTCATCTTACCTGTATGGACTTGGGAGGCCACGACAAATTTGGCTTCTGCATCTTCCTTGTCTTCACTATCATCAGTGTCCACAAGTGGCGAATCTACTCCGCCACCCTGTTCTCCGGTTCGTTCGCAAGGACAGTCGAGAAGGTCGTGGGTATGGGATACCGTATGAGGATGGATGGTGAATATGTCTCGGAGCTAACATATGCTTGAGCTGGACTCGACAACACGCAAAACAGCAGACAGACCTCCTTGGGCGTAAACGTGTCTGATTTCGATTCCGATTTACCCTCCGGAAAGATGTTGTTATAAGCATACTCATGACAGGTAATAGAGCCGGACTCACATTACCAATAAGCGCTGTAACGGACGCTTGTCAGGATGTGACAAACGAATCGACGAGTCACTCACTACTGCTCAATCCCAGCTTGGTGACCTGTCTCTGATAGATTTTTTCTAGGAGAATAGTATTAGAGTGGACGAAGGTCCCGAAACAATAGCGGCTTTACCGTCGATGGTTCCAGCTGTCAAGAAACGATAGATAAAGACTTCACGCTTTTGTCCATCCCTAAAAATACCAGATAGATGAGGATGGACACTGGCTTGCATAGTGGAGGAGACTCGCCTGTGTATACGGGCCATAGATTGGAGGTCATGACTGGAGGTCATAGCTTTAGTCATAGCAAGCACAGGACAGAGAATACCTTGTCACCTTGGATTCCAGTCTGAATCTACCAGACAAAGTCTGGAAGCGCCAATTAGGTTGAGGCCTACTCCGCCAGCTTTCGAGCTAAGCAAGAACAAAACTAACGAAGGTGATGTAAGCGGGTTATTTCTCTGATTAGACCAGTAAGAGGCTCGTTACAGCATCGTTCCTGTGATGACTTGTTGAATGTATTGACAAACTCCTGTCGTTTAGAAGTCGCCGTTTGGCTAGTGACAACGGGCGGATATCGTCAGCGGACGTCCCTGCAGAACAAAGGCCTAAACGCTGTACCCATCTAAGCGCAGGTAACTGTAGTTTTTCTTCTTGCAAAATGCTTCTAGTATGTTGAGCGTCGAAGTGTAGTGCGATACGAGAATACATTTTTCATCGGTGTTCTACAATGAACGAAGTGAATCCTCGAAATAGAAGTGAGTACACCAATGAACTTACCTTCCGTATGGCTCTCAGAAGATTGGCTAAAGCCGTCAGTTTGCCTGTACAGGGACGTCAGACACGCATACCGACATGACAGGGCGTCTTACCGCTCAGTGACACATCCTCGACTTGCGCGCGGTCAGGGAGAAGCTTGACCGCTTCCTCTACAGCCGTCGTCCGTGCAACGTTGTTGCCGCCCTGTTTCATCTTTGCACTTGCCTTGTCTGCTACGGCTTTGAGCAGAATGGGACTATTACTGATCTTTGTGAGCATGTTGATTAGTGCAAGGGACTCCGCCGTGGAATCTTGAATGATATTGTCGAGCTTGTCTGGGTTCAAGAGCTTCGTGAATATAGCAAGTTGCAGGCATGTTGGGGTGACAAAAACGACATATTCATCTGCAAGAATTGACCTTAGCGTAAAGACGGGGCGGATGGAAAGGCACTCACGCTTGGGCGGCAGATAGCTCTTCAGTATGGTGGCATCCCGTCGGAGAACGAAGCTACGAGAAATCGCTTGTAACTAGAAGACGCGCGTCAGTAAACCGGAACATAACGGTACGAAGCACGGCTGACCTGGGCCGAACGGCTTTCGCCTAATTGAGCATCTTTGCTGGAACAGCCAGGTGTACGGCTCCGCAGGATGGGCGCTTCATATATACGGCGGAAAGTGCTGTAATCGTCTGTATGGGAGCGACCGACGTCGCAGTAACCAGAGAAACATGATTGAGTGATTGTAGCTCACCGAGGAGACCAGGATTGCAAAAATCCGCCTATAACGTAACTTTAGTTTAGTTTATAACAACGAGGAAAGTGACACACCATGGCATGGAATTCACTAAGGTCATTCTGAATGGGAGTACCGGACAAGATGATTCTTCTGGGGGTTCTCAGCGCTTCGAACATGGTTGAGGTCTTGTTATTGGCAGATTTCAAACGGTGACCTGAACGGCATGAACACCATTCGGGATAAGCGCGTCGTGGGGGAGATCATCGATCCTGACCTTCATCTGCAATTATAAGACCAATGGGAGGACTAGACGCCCGTGAGACAAGTTCCATGCGCTCCGCGGGCATGGACTTACCTGCAATACGCCAAATCTGCGCTGCACAAAGCCGTCAGATATCTGTAACGGGTGCTACAACGGAAACTCACATAACGCTGCGCAGACGCTCATAGCCAATGATGAGGACCTGGTGGATCCTCCTGAAAACGTGATGTTTAGCCTTCAATCGAATGCGGAGGACCAGACTACCAACGAGTTGATGAACTGCTTGATAGTCCCCTTGTCCTTGTCACCGTTGAATATACCAACCCTGTCTCTTCCCAGCCTGGAATAGCAATAGGATCGGTGGCGGCCCCGGCGCGGTCCAGGTGCATACGACTGACCATTTGTGAAACTCGTTCTTCCAGTTCTAGAAAGTAAAGGGGGTATCAGAAGGATCGCGGTAATGCGAGCACTAGCAGGTTCACGTACACTGATTAGTGTTACTGGACACACTATCAGAACCTTGCCTACAGCAGGGCCAGCACCGTATGGGTTTTGCTCTAGGAAAAAATTGCAAAGAAATCAACACCTTGGTAGATATAGACGCACTGAGCAAGGTCCAGACCAGGGCAATGGTCTACAAACGAGTCAGTAATGGTTATGTTGTGTAAAATACTATCCACCTGTAAGGTCTTTCCCATGCCCCTTCCTCGATGGTCAGATCGTGCCAGTTATCCTAATTTGAAGGCGCTTACATCTCGTCAGCGAGAATGCAGCCCTGGCCCTCGTGCTTTCGCAGGCCCATCACACATTCGTACATAAACCGAACGCCTGTAAAACATAATTGTATGTCATGATAACCCATTGGACCGCGGGATGTGCACTAACCTTCTATTTGATGGGGTCTCAATCGACGAGCCAAGAGCGGGTCAATGACCACAGGGATCACCGGTAAATTCCTATAAATCTTGTCAGAGTAAGTCCAAGAATCACACGGCATGAGCGAACTTCTTGTTGAACCTGCTTGCGTGCTCTTCGGTAGGTGCTTTCATTACGAGGGCACCTTCAGCGTCAGGGTCGTGCCTATACAAAATCTTTCAGCGTGAGCATGAGACTTGAGGCGAGAAGACAGACAAAGGTCCTTTCGACTTCTGCTTGGGTGGAGGATTGCCATAGAATGTTGTCGGCGCAATGAACTTCTTCGTTGACGATATACTGTTCTTCGCAGGTGAACTGACACTTTCGGTACGGTGACGGGACGGTGTCTGGGCGGGTGATGGTTGAGATATATCGACGAGGTCCGGGTCATATTCGTTCTCGACTTCGAGGGACGATCCTGTGATCGCTGGCAGCTGTGAGGGTGACATTTGCGAGTCTAGCTCAATCTCTCTTCCTGCAATGAAAGACTTGTATCCGGAGAAAAGGCGAGTGCCCTCGAACGACTTGTGACCAAGGCTACCAAGAAGGGATAGGCATAAGTAAACTTCACAAGGAAGGGATGTCACTCACATTTTTCCACTCTCCGACAATAATGTCAGTCTTTCCGCTCGCAGTATGATATATGCGTCGCCATCCCAGGTCTTGTGTTTCTTGTGCTGAGGTTTTCTCCTGAAGGAAATGTCAGTTTGATGAATATCAAAATCGAAAAGAACACGAAGGACGAGAAAAATCGCACCAGTTCACGCTCCAGCAAGATTCTGTATTATCCTTCCGTATCGATGAAGGTATCGATGAAGAAGGGGTGCGAGGAGCACTGGAGCTGAGGATATTCACGGGCTCAAGCTCGACGGCTTTCCTAGGTGCAGCCATTGGTCGACTATTGGTACCTGGATTCATAACGACTGGCTTGAGGGGAACAAATTTCTTTGTAAGAGATCCATAAGTGCCCACGGATGGCGTGGGGGTTATGGCCGCTCCTGCACGACCAAAACACGCGCCAGATTGGTATTCAGTACGAGGGACAAAACGGTCGACCTCGAGCTCTTTGTTTCCGACGTGTAGTTGCGCGCCTTCCGAGATTAGTTGTAATCCGACTTTCCCGGTTGTAAGTCTAAAGCAAACAGTACAATTTGTTAGGGCACAAAACATGATATCACGAACGCATACACTCTGCCGTCCTGGTCGAGCAGTGTAGCCTTGGTCCCGTTAACGACCAGGACGCCATCGCCATCCCAAGTTTTATGTTTTCTGCTTTGTGGGACACGCCTGTATATCCATTGTTAGGTGCTGCACGCGCGAGATCCAGTCGAACGCACCATTGCACCATCCAGTAAACCTCAGGATTTGAAGCGGACGGTTCGTCACCTCTGGCCGCCGCTTGTCTCTTGCGGCTTGCATCATATTGAGAGGCATCAAATTTGCGCTTGGTGCTTTCGGAACTAGCGGGCT